ACCTTGAAGACTTACGAGAGTGATTGGGCGAGGACTGGGTGTCCTTAGCTCAAGGGGAATAAGGTGAAGACACAGTCTTCTAAGTTCAATCTCAGCCTCCCTAACCAGAAGTACAGTTGTCACGGCAACTGGAATTGGTCTACCAAATCCTTGTTTCACCAAGCTACTGGTTCTATCCCCTACCTCCTTTACATTTCAGTTTATCTTCTTGAAGTCATTGCTTGCCTGCCTGATCTGTTTGAATCCATTGTGCGAAGACTATTACTATTTGGCTTCATACTGTCTTCCATTCCGATCTGCACTACCTAGCTGCTATTAGTCTTCGTGCTTTCATTGAATTGCTTACTTGACTATGGCCTGTCTAGTGTAGTTCATCTTCCGCTGCATATCATATAGGTTCATATTGATTGTTTGTCTTCAAAGACCTCGTGTTTTGAAGACTTTCACAAAAATCGCCTATTCACCCCCCCTCTAGTCGATAACTAGCAGTTTCATTTTCCCGCCGACAGGCCTGGAAGGAGACTCCAAGCCAGAGACTGCTACCTCTTGAGCATGCGTTGGTTTTCCCTTGAAGAGGAAAGGGTGATGCAGCAAAGTAGTGTAAGTATTTCCCTCTGTTTTTGAGAACCAAGGTATCAATCCAGTAGGAGACTACACGCAAATCGCCTAGTACCTGCACAAACCAATAAGATCCTTGCAACCAACACAATAAAGGGGTTATCAATCCCTTCACGACCACTTGCAAAAGTGTGATCTGATAAAGATAATAAGATAAATATTTTTGGTATTTTTGTGGTATAGATTGCAAAATAAAGATTCCAAAATAAATAGTAAACTAGAATTGTAGATTGGAAACTTATATGATGTAAAGTAGACCCGGGGGCCATAGGTTTCACTAGTGGCTTCTCTCAAGATAGCATGCATTGCGGTGGGTGAACAAATTATTGCTGAGAAATTGATAGAGAAGTGCATAGTTATGATGATATCTAAGGCAATGATCATGGATATAGGCATCACGTCCGTGACAAGTAGACCGAAACGATTCTGCATCTACTACTATTACTCCACACATCGACCGCTATCCAGCATGCTTCTAGAGTATTAAGTTCATAAGAACGGAGTAACGCATTAGGCAAGATGACATGATGTAAAGGGATAAACTCAAGCAGTATGATATAAACCCCATCTTTTTATCCTCGATGGCAACAATACAATACGTGTCGTTTCTCTTTCTGTCACTGGGATCGAGCACCGCAACACTGAACCCAAAGCTAAGCACTTCTCCCATTGCAAGAAAGATCAATCTAGTAGGCCAAACTAAACCGATAATTCGAAGAGACTTGCAAAGATATCAAATCATGCATATAATAATTCAGAGAAGAATCAAATAATATTCATAGATAATCAAGTTCATAAACCCACAATACATCGGATCTCGGCACACACACCGCAAAAGAGTTGCATCGAATAGATCTCCAAGAAGATCGAGGAGAACTTTGTATTGAGATCCAAAGAGAGAGAAGAAGCCATCTAGCTAATAACTATGGGCCCGAAGGTCTGTGGTAAACTACTCACACATCATCGGAGAGGCTATGGTGTTGATGTAGAAGCCCTCCGTGATCGAATCCCCCTCCGGCAGATCGCCGGAAAAGGCCCCAAGATGGGATCTCATGGGTACAGAAGGTTGCGGCGGTGGAAAAGGTGTTTCGTGGCTCTCCCGGAAGGTTTCAGGGTATAAGAGTATATATAGGCGAAAGAAGTAGGTCGGTGGAGCTGCGAGGAGCCCACGAGGGTGGGGGCGCGCCCTCCTGCCACGTGGCTTCCTCGACGTCCACTCCAAGTCTCCTGGATTGCGTTTGTTCCAAAAACGATCCTCGCGAGGGTTTCATTCAGTTTGGATTCTGTTTGATATTCCTTTTCTGCGAAACACTGAAATAGGCAAACAAACAACAATTTGCACTCGGCTTTCGGTTAATAGGTTAGTCCCAAAAATAATATAAAAAGGTATATTAAAGCCCATTAAACATCCAAAACAGATAATATAATAGCATGGAACAATCAAAAATTATAGATACGTTGGAGACGAATCAGAGACATCTCTCACTCACTCACTCACTCACTCCTCGTCTTGGCCATCAGTGGCAGGAGAACGGGAGCAACGGGAACAAAGTGGCAGCATGGCGAAGAGTTCTAGACGAGCAAGGAGCGAAATGGAATAAGGTAGGGTTTTGAAACCCCCAGTTTCCCTCAACTTATAAGGCGTCCGGACCCGAGGCGTCGTCCACCCCCAGTGGAACGGACCACTTTTCCGTTGCCTTGGGAAGGTTTTCCTTTCCCTCCTTTTTTGCAAGGAATAAAGGCGATAAATACAGCTGGATCCTCTCTTAAGGACTCGCGGCGGATACCGACTACACCGAATCGGCGTCCAAACCGATAGGGCAACCGATCCCTTGGGTACGCCGGACTCCGAGGCTATCCGAGCTCTTAAGAAGCAAGACGATGAAGGAGCCCGCTGGAGGTCTTGCGGTCCTCACTACGACCTCCGCCACTCTTGGGGGCTACTAACGGGGTCCTGTACCGGGGGTGGCTAAATGCCAAGGAGCCCAACCTCGCCAACTACAAGGAGGCCCAATAGACCCACGGTATGGCGCTAACCCTAGGAGGCCAGAAGACCTTCTTGATGCCCGAGACTAGATGGTGGCGCCCAAGAGATGCATCTGGCATGTAAACCATATACATCTCCTATCTATATAAAGGGAGGTCTAGGGTTCCTCTTGATCATCTATCCTCAGATACGAGAAACTCTCGGTAGCAACATCAAACACCATTGTGGCCCCTTGCACGAGGTATCACTCCACTATGAATAACCAAAACCAGCAGGACGTAGGGTATTACTTTCAGGAGGTCCGAACCTAGATAAACCCCTCGTGTGACCTCCAATCCATGACTTCCAGCTGTGCTTGGAACCCCTACCGAGGGATCTGGCGAAAATTTGCTCCGTAGGTGATCCGACATTTTTTCCTTTGGTAGCTGCTGTGATGGTGCGAGAAGCGGGTAACGGGCGTTGGTGTCAAGCTCAGAGATTTCTTCGGTCTTAATTGTAATTTTACTTCTTAACTAGTGTTCCTTTGTGTAAAGGCTAGCGTTTCGCAGTTTTTTCAGTTTTGTCAGGTCGATATATACGTGGCTTGTACTATGATCCTTATGATACAAAATAAGGCATGTATTACCATGCAAAAAAGTTGTCATTTTAATCGTAAAAAATACTGAATAGGCTCTTCTAGAACATTGAGCGAGATTTCAATACTGAGCGAGATTCTAATCGTGAAAATATTGTGCGGACTTTCAATACTGAGCAAGATTCTAATCGTGTAAATATTGAGCGAACGCTCGATAGATTGTTCTCGAGCACAACATGTTTTGCACCATGTGATCTAGCCATGCATGGTTACTCGGTTGGTGATGCCGGTGATATGCAGGGAAAGTGGCAAGCAGAGGGAGTGGTAGCGCTAGATGCTGGTCGCATGGTAGCACAGTTCTTAACTGATTTCATGTAACATACAAATACTTGTGAAGAAAATATAATGTTGGTAAAAAAATTGCTCTCTCTATTATTGGGGGCGACCACAGAGCTTATAGTGAAACTACATGAAAACTAACATAAACCATCGAATTACATCCGGATGCCATAGATTTCACGAGGAATGACCGCTATATTCATGTCTAAGTTTCAGTGCAAGTTTGTTATACTTTAGAGAAGACCGATAATTTTCACTTATAAGCTATAAAAGTTACAAAACAACAAGTGCTCTCAGTCTTCATACGGACAACGTAGGTTGATTTTTCTTCTATTTCATACAAGAGCCTTTTCTATCATACGAATCCTATTAATATTTATCAAGAGCATATTTGAGTTAACACAGCAAAGAGAAAATAAAGTTGTTACTTCCTCCTTATGGTTTAGAGAGCCTATGTTATTTTCTTATTTATTTTTAATTTTATTTGTCATTTTCATTGTCCACATCACATGCTCAGATTTTGAGGTGCATTAAATAGCTACAAGCAATAATCAAAAGAAAATTCATTGATATATGTAAAAGTCCTTGATCATTTAATGGTCACACATACCTACGTTACAATTAATGCATCGGTAACATGATTTTTTAAAAGAAACAAGCACACTAATTGAGTATTTTACAAATTAGAGAAATTATTTCACCACTCACCATCTGCCTTGGATGTGAAAATTTTCAGATTTGACCCATACAACTTAACGGAGGGAGTACTATTTATTAATTATTTTAAAAAGATAAAAGCGAACTTATAATTAAACACTATAATATTTGACTGCACGTAATCCAACAACAACCCATAAAATACAATGATACCTCAATGACTTGTTGCATCAATAAATATTCTTTCATATCTAATGACTTGTCACATTAATTGATACTTGTATGAAAAAAGTTAGATGAGACATCCGGTGAATCTTTCAAAAGGAACATTACACCGGATGTCACGGCTAGTTTCAAAACAGTTAACTTGCTTTGAGGTCCGGAGGCATATAGAAGGGGAAGGAGAGGCCTCCCCTTCAAATTTTCTGCCGTGGTGGGATTCGAGTTGCACACTGTCACCCTGGAAGCTCTCGCCTTCATCTTCCTCCCTTCGCGCGTCCTACTACCCTCCACGGCCGGGCCACGGTGAGCTCCAGCACTAAACAAGCCTCTCGCCTCTCCCCGTATCTCCCGCTGTCGCCTCTCACCGCTCCAGAAGATATGCCTGTTCTTGCAGTCCCCGCCCTGCCCTGCTCATCCTCTTCCCCTCGATAAGTGGAAATTTTACTTTATCTATGTTCTGAGATGAAAAAGATCGGGTTTTTTGTGCGTCTCTCTGCACGAAAGACTGCGTTTTTTTATGCAGAGGAGGGTCAGATTGCAGGGGCAAAATTCTTGCATTCATAAGCTTTCCATTTCTTTGACAGCGCGGCGGCAGCAGCAGCAATGGAGGCGGGCGCGTCGTCGGGGACAGGGAGCTTTCCGGCCGAAGACGGTGAGATTTGGGTGCCCGTGCTGTCCGATCCTCTGGATGGGGGCTCGAATTCGCCGACCCAGGTAAGGCCCATCTTTGCTTCCCTCCATTTTCTTTATCGCCTCTGAAGAAATCCATTCCCGTGGAAGATTATTGTTCTTTTCCTAGCGTTCATGCTTCTTCTCCTTTGCCTTTTTACTCTTTTGCTTTCTTGCTTCAAGTACTCTCTGTGCAAAACTGGTGTTTCTTTCTTTTGTTTTTCTTTTTGAGATTTTTTTTGTGCTATTCTTTTTGAGAATGGGAACGATGTGTTGCTCAACAAGCGTCGTGTTGGACTGGCATCCACCTGTACGGTTTGTCATTCATCGAGCGCACGAAACAAATCCCTATATGTAAATTCGTTATTTCACTCAAGATTCATGAGTTATCTGAAAGAAGAGTTTTAAGCACAACCAAAATGGTCAATACAAAGTACTGACGCTTAATTATTCCAATTCCCTGGTTTCATGAACTTTCTGTTTAACTGGATGCAATATATGTGGACTAGCACAGTTCAGACATGATCCAAGTTCTTCAGATCTTATCGAATATGACTTGGATATATAGAGTTTGCAGTGGGCTCATCGAAATCCTCACACGAAACCGACGTATATTTCATTGTTTTGATGGCAGGCGGAGATTGAAGTCTATTCAGCATATCTGGATTATGACGCCATGGACTTCCAAGCAGTCTTAGAAGGACCCCAAGATGAACACGATATTGAAAAATTGTTTGGAGGTGCAATGTTTACTTCTTGCGGTATATTCCAAACTTTGTTACATAAGCAAGCAAGTTTTATCCGTGGTTTCCACTTTGAAACCAATGTATGAAGCTTTCCTTGCAGGTGCACGCAGTGCTACTTATATAAAGGAGGCGAATTTAACTCATGAGGCATGATTTTGGCACATGTAAAAGTATAACTTGCTAAATAAATGATGTGACAAATGTTACTGAAAATATGTTTCATCTTGGCAGATTGAATGTGAATTTTATTCACCAACTAGTGATCATGGCATGATACAAACACTTGCGCCTGCCACGGCGCTTCCTGAGAAAGAGGAGGCCCCTGTCACCATGGCCCTCGGTGGAGGAGGAGAGGAGGACAAGAACAGAAAGGGAGGAGGGAAAGGGCACCCGCTGCCTTGTCAACGGAGAAGCATGAGGCTTGCGCTCGCCGCCACGCCGCTGGAGGAGGGGGCTTGTGCTACCTTCATAGTAGACCTGCTAGGTACGAATTATGAAGGTTGATATATATCACTTGCCATAGTCTCAAGTAGTTAAATACATATGTTATATGCTTCAGATTACATGCCGAAAAGTGGTTGGAGGCACCGAAGTCGCCTGAGAAGTGCACGCAAGAGAGGAATATGGTCATTAAACACGGAACAAACTTTCCTTCTGCCTAACCATTTAGGGGTAAGAATTATGTTTATTATCAGGTAGAAATTCAACAAATTAGTATGTGTGCAACGAGTTCTTTATGTATTCATTCTTTGCTTTGTGCACTTTTTGAGCTCAGATTTATTATCAGCCATCCATCAATGGAAAAATGCTCATAACTATGTCGGTTATGTTTCCTAGAATGCGACATGCTTTCAGGACATGAGCTCTATATGTAAAGGCAAAAAATGTGGGCACAGAAAAAACAATGACCACTGGACATACGAAGAGATGAAAAAACTAGTGGATGCTCTGTATATATCTGGGGTTGGAAATTGGACGAAGTTGAAACATGAGAACTTTTCAACATCAGTTCGAACAGCAATGAATCTTAAGGTATGGTAGATTGGTGTATATTGCACCCTAAAGCAAATGCATTATTAGATGTTTTCTTTGCTTGTGACAATGTTTTAATTTATTGTATTTTAAACTTTTTTTGTTAATCTTCTATGCATCTATAATTTTTCCGCCACGAAAGATACAAAATTTTATGTTTGGTACATGTGTTCTATGTTATCAACATATAATTTTACTGTCACCAATCTCTCCTTAATTCTTTGTCCTAGGTCCACACTGACACCAATCTATTTTCTAATGTTTAGGATAAATGGAGAAATCTTAAGAAAGCCTACACGGTCAGGCCTACTTCTAAAAAGAATGTTGTATACGATAAGTTTTTTGAACTCAATATGGAACACCACTGATTTGCATTGCTTACATTCGTTAAATTCCAGGGAAATGCTAAAAAAAGGATCTTGCCGACTCTAGACAAGGATTGTGTCGAAAAGATCCAGAAGCTAGCCTCCAAAATGAAGCTGCACTTGTGAATGATACAAGAAACATTGTATAGTACTTTTGGTGTAGGAATGAATCAGCAACAGGAGTTCTGTTATTTTTTCTAGGACAGCAAGGCATAGGCCGGCTGCCATATTGAGTGTGTAGAGAGTAGAGATTACCAGCTTATATATCCTTCCTAACTGCTTGTAAAG